CAGCCAGCCAGCCAGCCAGCCAGCCAGCCAGCCAGCCAGCCAGCCAGCCAGCCAGCCAGCCAGCCAGCCAGCCAGCCAGCCAGCCAGCCAGCCAGCCAGCCAGCCAGCCAGCCAGCCAGCCAGCCAGCCAGCCAGCCAGCCAGTCAGCCAGCCAGCCAGCCAGCCAGCCAGCCAGCCAGCCAGCCAGTCAGTCAGTCAGTCAGCCAGCCAGAATTGGAAAGGAAAGATACACCTTCATCAACCCGAAACAGATGTGGGAATCTTTTGCCCCCAGACAACATCAAGAACAAGACTTGGATTCTATTCAACACAAATGTGAAATCAGTTAGTCAGTTCTTCTATAGGGGTCAGAAATTTGCATTGCACGTGAGTCATGCCAAGAATTTTTACAAAAAGTCACAGAATTTTATCAGCAGCTGCCGCTTTCGCTGGCTCTATACTGAATATCATATGGCCAGCTAACCGGCCAGAAAGAATTAGCGACAAGAAACTCTGGCTTGGAACGAACCGACCAAGAGCTGACATCTGAACAAATATGTAGGAAGAAACGGAGATGGATTAGGCACACAGGATTTAAGAGACCGTAGAATGACATCATGCGAAATGCAGGCCATTGCTCCAGTAGAACTCCAATAAGAAGGGATGAGTGAGCAGTTGCTTCGAGGATGATATAGAGGAGATTTTGTGTAAGGAAGAAGAGATAGCAGATTAATGGCAGTTGCAGCTCCAGCTAAAGAGGACAGCAGAGAAGAGGAAGAGAGTGGAGATGTGCTTTTGAAGCCGTATGTTCCATTTGGAACCCAAGAGAATAATATTATTAATTACGCTCCAAAAACTGAGTATAAAAATTCCACGATACCTTATTTAGCACACATTTTATGTGATAAGAAAAGTGTTGGGCATGAAACTACTGACTTATTGAGAAAAACAGTAAGCTAACGACCTTTTTTTTATCCTATCTCACATTAGTACAATATTTTCGTCAATATTTCTACTTAATTTCAGTTTCACATTCACATATTCTTATTGAAATTATTGATAAGGTAAATGTCCCGTTAATTATTGCCTCCAATAATAGGTAACTATAAACAGTAAATTCCACTTTGTATCAAGAATAATGTGGCGAATAAAGCCACTATTATTATTATTATTATTATTATATTATTGACTGAACTTTTGAAGGGTTGACTAAGCTCCTTCAAGAATACCCCACCAGTGAGAGTTGAATAGCCTAAAATTCACGTCGATTCAATTCACCTAACCTACACTGTGTTTACTAGCACAAATTAACAATTTCGGTTTAGCATAATGGAAGAGAAACAACGTGAAAGGCGTCGGTGGCACAGCGGTTAGGATGCTAGCCGACTATGCGCATTGTCCAGGGTTTGATCCTCGGCCGGCGCACACCTGATATCAATGGTCAACCTGCTAAATTTGGACTACCGATATCACATGCTGAAAATTCCATACTTATACCAAAAATACTGTGTGGAATCAAGCTATAATGAATTAAAAATAAAATAAAACCAATGAAGAATAATTCCCGTAGCACCTGTGGTTATTATTGAGGCATAGTAGTCTAGTGGACAATTCACTGCGAATGCAGGTACATTAATTTTCAGCATTAATCACAACACCTTGCATCTAATTTCCTCAAATTATAGATAAAAATTAATCACACAGAACATTTTCCACATTTACAGTAGGGGTAATGTCAGAAACATGCAGCTTATGAAATGGAAATAATAATAATAATGATACCAGCTAAGGTAATAATAATAATATAATTGAAAATTGCCATGGGCTTGTTTCACACAGTATTGGCAATGTGGTATAGAAATCCTAACATGTTTAAAATATTGAATATAATGTTCTCTTTACATGATAATATGGTGAGGGGAAAAACAAAGATTACAGCAGTCATGGAGATAAGTTGGTGCTTGCAACTATGAGAGTAAATTAAACAAAGAAGCAACAGGACCATAAATATAATAGAAATAATAAAAGTAACACTTCAAGGTATATAAGGATGGATGGATGGATGGAGGAAATTGTTTATTTACTAGATGAAAAAGGTTAGTTAATTGTTGCCTGACACGATTTTCACTATCACATAAAATACGTGACAAGTATGGTATCATGGAATTTCTATACTTAGACGTGAGAGCATACAGTTTTCTGAAGTTACTTCTTGTTCTAGCTGAGGAGATGCAAGGTGAGAGCTGAGCGTAAAGTGGATGCTTCAAGTCGGACAAAATCCTTTTGGCAAATTTATTGCACGAAATCAAGTGCCTATCGACAACGATGTCAACTATGTGGTCCACTGAGACACCACTCACCCTACTGACAGTCTTCAGGATTCTAAGAATTGTGCCATAGTCCTTTTTAAGCAGCAAACTAGGAAAGAATAAGCGGGGTTGAACAATAAAGAAGAATAGGTAGGATGCAAGAGTTTATGAAGTGTAAGAGGAGGAGGGGTTGGTTGATTTATCCCAGAGTGCCTCAACTTCTTGATGTAAAATGTCAGGCGGAATATTTTAGTGGCGATCGCTAAGACATGGGAAGACCAGGAGAGATCAGAAGAGAGAATAAGTCCAAGATACTTAATTTCTGATTTGACTCCTATATCATTGACGTCAATTTTACAACTGTCATGAGAATCGATGACTTCTTTTAACTGTCTTTTACATCTTAAGCTGAAATTAACAGTTTGACTTTTAGAAGGATTCAATTTAAGACTGTTAGACTCAGACTATTTGCTGACTCCCAATAGAAAGCTATTTATTTTAGTACAATCTACAATGTGATACATTGTAGAATGTAAGCACAGTGGTGGCAAACAATTCGAAATTAGATAACTTTAATACATTTCAGTACTGCCATATAAGCAAGAAACATCAGACGCCCTAAGTTGAGTACCTGATAAGACTGGAATTTAGGGTGGTATTCAAATCAGGCAACTCACCCAGAGACTGGCTTTATCAGACTAAGAAGCCAATAGATCCAATTATTTAAGGGTAGCATTATTTACCAAATACCATGTAATGAATTTGAGGTCAGTTACACAACTTCAACTAATTGATGGGGGTCAATAAGATTATAAGAAAATAGGAGGAATTTACCTAGAGTTTAAATGAGTGACCCTGTTTAGTTAAATTGTCTAGATAAAAGTTTTGCTATTGCAATGCATTCACTTCCATGTAGTATGGGGTAAGGTGGATGTATTAAAAAGTAATATAATACGGTGAAGAGAGAGGTTAGTTACCGAATTCATGTTCGTCGGGTCGACAACAAACAGGTGTGTAGTGAAAATAAAAAATCGAAACGAGTGATTCGGAAAAGAATCTGTTCCCAGCGGAATTTGTTAATAGGCTGTACAATCGTGTATGACTATGTGTGCTGTTGTTAAGCTGGGTAAATTGATCTTTCTACGCAGGTTTTGTCCAATTGGAGGCATAAACATTATCCTGAGCGTTTATAAAGAGGTAGAGGTGAGGCTATAAGACACGCTAAAATTCACTATCTGGTCGATACTGGTCACCTTATTTCTACTCCTTCCACAAGGCGGAAAGTAATCTGTTCAAATTATTATGTATCCCACTTATCTGTATTGCTGAAGCTCTGGTCGTCGAAATAGAAAAACCAGACCTTTGTATACAGAGAAATGCTTCTTCACCCATTGCGGATTATTCTGACTTATTATTGTCATTCTCACTTTGAACAAAGCAAGAACTACAATTTTACCTGGGTTACCTGGGTTCCAGTGGGAAGTCGTGACCAGTAAGGTGCAGCCGGTCGGGTGTGAGGACAAATACTCGCCGAAGACATTGGCTAGCGGTCGCGCTATGTCGTGAATTGGCAGAAGTTAGAATTCAAGGACTATTGGGTCGGGTCCCAGTGGCCTAATGGCATACGAGCTCGCCTTGTAACCGGAAGGTCCTGGGTTCGAATCCCGGTGGGTGCGTACTGATGAAGAGTCCCAAACTAGGACGAAACAGCTGTCCAGTACTCCCAGATTTTCCAATGGTTCTCTAACTAATGTCAGCTCATGATGAAATCCTGAAACTACAGTTTTAGCAGAATAAAATGGTACCATTTTTTATTTCGTTACCTTCTCGTCAGCTCAGCTGCTTACAGGCCAAAGACATTATTAAATATAACTACAGAGACAATTTTAACATGCTTGCACAGAGTTCATTTTAAACGAAAATCAATCTATCAGTATATGCATACAGTAATAATATATCCACATATATATGTAATATTAAACACTATTCCGAAGAATAATAATCATACACAATGGAAACTTTCAGAATTTCACATTCAGATGAAAGAGAGATAAAAAAATATCCACTTACCAGGAAGGGCAAAGAAAGACTGATAACCGCTTCTTTCTGGGCGGATTAATCAGATTTCAGGCGCTTGATGTAAATGGCTTCAGCAAACTGGAGGAGAATTGAGCTCTTTTGCCTATTGATAGTTTTGAACGATCTTGCGACGTCTACCTCATGACCAATGTCAAGGAGATACCTGACGATGACATTGTCCAATCAGGTCATCATGTTACTGTATGCCTAAATCATGACTTCAAGACTAACAAAGAAGCTTGGCTGTCCTAACACACTTGTTACTGTTTTCATTTAATATTTTTTAACAGTTATTCTTATAGGTTGCAGGATTTTGTCATGAGCTGACATCAGTTAGAGAACCATCGGAAAACCTGCAGGGAGTACTGTCAGACAGCTGTTTCATCAGTCTAGTTTGTAACTCTTGACCAGTACGCACCCACCCACCCACCTAAACGAGGACGAAACAGCTGCCTGTCCAATACTTCCATCTGGTCTTCCAGTAGTGCTCTAACTGATGTCAGCTCATTATGAAATCCTCCAACCAACTAATCAGTCAATCAAAATCCCTACAAAAATCAATACTTGAAAATAATTTTCATACTTCAAATGGTATTACTATATTGACGCTATTGATTTGTCTCTTCATTTCAGTGTGCACTTGTCGTCTGTGTCGTTCTTATTCTCCGAGAGTTATGGATACATCTTTAAACGTATATAAAAATGCCAACCATATTTGAATAATAATTACAAAACTCACTTGGTTTTTTTAAGATGCTAACATCTAATTATTTATTAAATAATTATTTACTAAGTAAATAAAAGTTTTTTAGAAAATGTATAATTTTTTTGTATTGTATCCCTTTTCGAAGTGTCGGATAATGTAAGTGACAGGTGTCTGAGTGTAAGTGTGTGTGTGTGTGTGGAGGGGACGTGGCTTTTGATCACCTCGTCTGTATCGATATTCAAGTGTTGGCTTTGTAGGGATTCGACTGGTTACAGAATTTCATCATGAGCTGACATTGGTTAGAGAACCATCGGAAAACCAACTTAGAGTACTGGAAAGCTGTTTCGCCCATCGAGTTTGGCACTCTTCGTCAGTACGCACCCAGCACCAGGGTTCGAACCCAGGATCTTCTGGTTACAAGGCGATCTAGCTCATAGACCATCAAGCCACTGGAACCCGAATCAATGGCCCAAGACTTCCAACTTCTGCCAATTCATGACATAGCGCGACCACTAGCCTATGTTTTCGGCGAATAATTGTCCTCACACCCGACCTGCTGCACCTTTTGTATCAGATTTGATTTTATCGCCGGATGACATCAATTAGGCAATAACCGAATGCCGAAGCGTGTTACTTGATAGCTGTTCCGTCACAATTTAAGATTCTGAATATCACATTCCAGCTCATTAGTGGTAATCTGCTGGATGTCCTGAAGTTCCAATCAAAGTAGGAGGCACATCTGTGGTATTAATCTACGTTACTGCTAACTCACGTGAACTGATAGAAGTTTGAATTCACGGGTCGAAGTCAGTTAGCAACTGAATGGTCAGGAGAAAGACCTCGTAATCTAAAAACCCTGAGTTTGATCCCTGATGGGATCATGAACGCTTGTCGACGAAGGGTTTCAAACTAATTCCATTGTGGGTAAAATTTATTTTGATGAAGTCTCACAGTTGTATCTCACAGTGATATTTACTAATGTGACCACGTTTCGACCACAATTTATCACTAAGGCTCATAATCATATCAAGGCATTACTCACTCACACAACTCTCTAACTTCGTTTATATAATTCCATTATTTACCATCGCTTAATTTGTTTGGTATTAGTATTTTCCATATTTCCGGTATGAGTGATGAGTCATTCCTATTACATGTGTTGTGTTGGATGTAGACTCGATGAACCAGGCAGGTTTCAGTAATCAACCGACTCTCTCTCTCTCTCTGTCTTTCCACCTACCTAGATTACTTAGAATTCTAACCCTCTCCCATACACCCTATTGTGCAGTTGTGTGTTAATGAATGTAGTGCAGTGTAGTACTGAGTTTTTCTGTAAATTACTTATCTTCGTGGGTGGGGTCAATCATTCTAACCTTAGATAAATTCTCATGTTCCGATAATCTTACTACACCTGATCTACTAGTTTGACTTGCCTGAGTAGTTAACTTAACTCACAGTCATTGCAAGGTATTTTGTGAATTATATTATTTTGTCTAATTGGGTCCACCTACAGGGTCCTTTAACCCACAGAGCTTGTTCCTGAGTGAGTGATTTTGAAGGTTTAAATGCCACTCGAATTCTCGCTTTATTAAGAATCCTGCATATTTATTTATTTATGTTTTTTGATTACAGCTTGATTCGACACCGCATTTTAGGTACAAGTATGGAATTTTCAGCATGGATATCGGTAGCCCAAATTTTGCAGGCCGACCATAGATATCAGGTGTGCGTCGGCAAAGGGTCGAACCCCGGACCATATGTATGGTCGGCGAGAGTCCTAACCACTGTACCACCGGCGCACATAGGGTCTTAGATGTCCCTTCCTTATTTGATAGAATTGTGGATCCCTTATATTCCACAACTCAATTATGGATAAAGTTTTATTTTGATATAGTCACACAGTAGTTTAGAAAAATACCCAGCCCTACATTGCACTACATTCATTAACACACAACTGCACAATAGGGTGTATGGGAGAGGGTTAGAATTCTAAGTAATCTAGGTAGGTGGAAAGACAGAGAGAGAGAGAGAGTCGGTTGATTACTGAAACCTGCCTGGTTCATCGAGTCTACATCCAACACAACACATGTAATAGGAATGACTCATCACTCATACCGGAAATATGGAAAATACTAATACCAAACAAATTAAGCGATGGTAAATAATGGAATTATATAAACGAAGTTAGAGAGTTGTGTGAGTGAGTAATGCCTTGATATGATTATGAGCCTTAGTGATAAATTGTGGTCGAAACGTGGTCACATTAGTAAATATCACTGTGAGATACAACTGTGAGACTTCATCAAAATAAATTTTACCCACAATGGAATTACACTACACCACAGTGCACAATATCTATTCTTATATCAATGGATTGAAATAAAGACTAAACAGACCTATCCATTGCTTTTTAGTCCCTGATGGTTTTCTAACTCGTATTTTTTAGCGACGCAGTCTCCAGTGAGATTACTTTAAAAGACACCTTAAATATGAAATCCCTTGTTGCACAATTTGAAAATCGAAACACAATTCAGACATATTTCCGAGACTTTCTTATCACTTTTATTGTTCAGCGACGTAAATTACTGTCTACGGATTTGGCTAGCAGCCAGCTCTCACCACAACATCATTGAGAACAACGCGTCACTTCACTATTTCAACCCAATCAGTGGTAAAGAAGATCAGTAGAGTTACAGGATACATAATAGCGCTATTTTTTTTTAAAGAAATGCAGCAGTCGACTGCTGAAGAACTATCAGGAGGTTTGACGTGATGGAAAATGTAGGAATCATTATTTTTAATGACTTTTCACTGCATGGTGCTGCTAATAGCCTTATCAAAGTAGTCACATTAGACCATAATTTAATAAATTCACTCAGCTCATATACAAAATCTGAATCACTGTTTATCAACAGGGGATAATTTTTATGTTGTCAAATTGGCCAACTGATAAACATAACAAAACCAGGTGTAGATTGCTGTTGGATTTGATAAGTGTGTAAAATTATAAAAGCAGCGTGTGTTTACATAGTGAAATTGCTTATCACACATTCGTGTTGATTTTGTCATTTTATGTGGGAAGGATCCGACCAAATTGCAACTCTGCACATCATCATCGCACAACAAAGCATGGAATGGTAATCAAACCTCTACCTCAACTTTATAGTCTTTGAAAAGGCCTTCGACAGCGTTGACCGTGAAGTAATTTGGAAATTACTCGAGTACTACGGCGTAAACCAAATATTCATCAACCTTATTCAACAGCTGTACGACAACGGCACATTTCTAGTGATTAACAGCGGGAAACTCAGCGAGACGTTTGGAGTAAACACAGGAGTCAGACAAGGGTGCTGGCTTATTATCACCAATGATATTCCTAATTGTGGTGGAATGACTGGATTATGCGTCAGACAGTGGGAAACAAGAAGACAGGGATATCCTGGACAGACAGACGTGAAGAACCTAGAAGACCTGGATTTCGCGCGTGGGTGATTTATGTTTGGTGTCACACAAAATCGAAGACTTACGAGGAAAAATCGACAGGCTGGTGGAAGAAGCAGCCAGCGAAGACAGGACTCCAGGTGAACAAAGACAAGACGGAGATGATAAAAATAACCAACCAACAACAATAGCAGCAACATACAGCGCCAATCAACATCAACAGGAGAGATTTGATAGAGGTTACTTCATTCACTTATCTAGGGAGCATTGTCTCAACTGCAGGCAGTCGGAACGGACGAGGATGTCAAATCGAGCGAGAACCGGGGAGGGGGGCGAGAAACACATTCATCAACCTGAAACCAATCTGGAAATCTTCGTCACTCAGCCAGCATCAATGATGAAATTCGGTAGGATTTTCAATACAAACAACGTCAAGTCAGTCAGTTCTTCTATATGGATCAGAAACTTGGCGGGCGAGTCACAAAGACTATTTCAAACAGCCTGTTGCAGACCTTTATCAACTAACAACTGTCTTCGCTCTATACTGAGGATCAGATGGCCGGTCGGAAAGAATCTCCAACAAGAAACTATGGGAAGGAACAAACGAAACAAAAGCCAATCGCCAACAAACAAATATGCAGGACAAAGTGAAGAAAGATGGATTGGACACTCGCTGAGGAGGCCGTAGGATAACATCGCGCGTCAGGCCATTGCTCGAAAGGAACCAGGCCGAAAGGGAATCGGCGAGTGGGACGTCAGTTCAAGAGTGACATGGAGGAGATCGTGTGAAGAGGAGTTGAAACAGTATGGACTAACATGAATGCTGGTGAAAAGTACAGCAGAAGCAAGACAGAAGTAAATGGAAACGTGCAGTTGAAGCCGTATGTTCCACTAGGAACCCAAGGGAACAATAATAATAATAATGGGGGAAGGAAGTGTTGTGATCAGGTCAAATTCTGTTTCAGTCTATCATTCTTATTCACACAATTTGTATTCTATTTGATATGAATTACTGGCTTTTGATGATATGAGACGTTTTTTGTGATTTCCGAAATTTCTTTGGATGATGATTTCAATATTGTCGAAATCAATTCTGTAACCAGATTCTATAGCGTGTAGACGATCTATGGCTGATGATTTTTCCAGCTTTTCTAGTTCAGCTGGATTTCTCGGTGGTCAAATAGAGGCGGCTATACGGTGTTCATTTCCACTGATTATCTTGATTTCTCTCTGGCGATGTTTGTTCGATGTATACAGGGATTTTATTTTATAGACACAATTAGATAGAGAATCTTTAGGGATTTGATCTTTTATATGGACAAGGTTGCTTTGAAGTGTGTCCGATGTTTTGAAGAAAACTCTAATGTCGAGTTGATTAAGTACTCTTCTGATATCGTCTGACGTCTCTGCTCTATATGGAATGACGACTGCTGAAGTCCATGTTTTCGGAATGCATTTTCGGCCATACTTAATGTCTGTGTTGATTTTGTTGATGAAGTTCCTTGGGTAGTTGTTTTGCTTGAGAGTTTCAGTAATGTCTGAT